GCTTTACAGGGGGTACACTCCTGTCTACTCCCAGGCCCATCCCCACTCTTTTTGCTGCTGGGAAGGAACCTAGGACCTCTCCAGTGCTACACACAGGCTCTTCCACTGAGCTAAACCTCCCAGCACCCTCTCCCCAGCCCTTTTATGGAACATTCTCTGGAAAAAATTTCCAACTTCATATATTTTTTCGATACTAGGGATGGAGAGAAAGACCTTTTACACTGAGCTACAGGATCCCCCTGCCCCCATTTTATTTTGAGACAGGCTTGTTCTACAGGCTGTTGCACAGGGTGGGTTTGAACTTTTTGATCCTCCTGCCTCAGCCTCCCAGAGTGTTGGAATTATAGCTCTGTGCCACGAAGCCAGGCTCCAATTTCATACTTTGGTCTTCCGGGGCTGCGCCTGTCACATAGTAGGTTGGGTTCAACAAGAGTTACCAAAGATCTCCCTCCGTGGTGAGTCTAGGGATAAGGGAGCGGAGGAACCTCAGGGTTAATGTGGAAGAAGGAGGAGGAGGAGGCCAATGTGGCTGGAGCCCAGTGAACTGGGGGCACCAAGTCGGCTCGGTTAAGACTGGTCGGCCAGATGCGGAGAATGCGCGGAGTGTCCACCAGAGGACGCAACGTGACCTCAGTTCGCCGGCTCCGAGAACTATGTCTCCCAGGAGCCCTTCTCTGGAACCCCGATCGTGAAACCCAGCAGTCTCTGGGACTTGTAGTTTCAACAGGGACCCTCTCTCGGCAGACCAGGAACTCATTCCCAGGACCGGAAAAAGCGTGGGGCTGGGTCCTTTCCTCCTTTCTCCGTCTCCATGGTGATGGTTCCGGCGAGGACCAGGATTTGGCATCGGCGGGGCCCCCTTCCCACTCCCTCCTCTTCACCATCTGCTCCTCCCGCACACCTGGCCCCGAGCCGCGGCCGTCGCCGCCTCCGCACTCAGAGCGGGACTCTGTCGCCACGGGGTGGCGCGCGTGAGCGGTTCCGCGGCTGCTCCTCAGACCCGGGCGTTCCGGGCCGCACAGTCCTCCGGGCGGCAGCCTCCTCCTCCTGCGGGATCCGGGGTTTTTTCAAGCGTAGACAACACTGAGACCCAAGGACCCGGCCAGGCCGAGCTGGAGGCGTCAAGCCACGGCGGTCAGCGGCTTCCGGGCTTCTCGGCGCCCGCTCGCCGCGCCGTCTGCGCCTCTCACCCCCTCGTGGGCCGCATCATGAAAATTTAATCCCAAATGCATTTGCACCCGGCGCGGGGAGGCGGTGAGAAAGGAGCGTGCCGCTGGGGATGGACCCAGGACAAGGGCTGGCGAGCTGGAGGAGCCGAGCACCGCGGAGAGAGCCGGGGTTCCACCCAGGGGCGGGGCTCATCCGAGGGCGGGGCTGGGACGGAGGGGGTGGAGCCAGTGCCGAGGGGGCGGGAACGGAGCCAGGGCCTGGGAGGACTCGGGACCCGGGACAGACTCTAGGGTTGGGCACGGACCCCAGAGGGCAAAGCCGGGACTGGGGCCGACGCTTCTAGGGCGAGGACAGGATCTGGGGGCGGGGACAGAGCGCAGAAGGCGGAGCCCGCGCTCAGGGGTGGGGACAGACTCCAAGGGCGGAGTAGCTCCCAGCCGGCTCCGAACTCCGCGCGGGCACATCCCCGAGGAGAGGGCGACAACCCCGAAACTATGGGGTCGCCGCGGATTGTTGGGGTGGACAGAGCTCTAGGGAATGGAGTTCGGAAGGAAGGAAATGGGGATGGGAGAGGAGGCATTGGTGGGGAACCCGCCGAGGAGGGTGATGGAGCTGCAGGGTGTGGGGTTCAAAGAGAAACAGCGACGGAGACCAAAGGTGGAGAAATTGGGCAGGGGGAGGAAAGAGAGGGAACAATGGATGGGTGGAAGTAGGAGCTGGAATCGAGAGGGACGGAGTGCCCTGAAGAAGAGGAAGAAATCTGAAAGAAAACGTGGCAGTGGAGATGACACGAGGTGGACACGGAATTGGGGGTACAGGTGCGGGCGGTGGGACTGGGCGGATGAAAGGCAGAAGAAAGCGCCGGGGAAGACGGAACTGGGGGGATGGGACGCCGGAGATTGGGGGACCCCAGATCTCTCATGGAGAGAACTCAGGTCAGGAGAGGAAATCTGGGTGCGAGGACCAAGGGAGGATGGGACGTGGGGGCCAAATGGGGAAGGGACTCCGTGGGGGCGCTGCGAGTCGGAGAGAACCTAGAGGCGTGGTCCTGGTACGGA